TCCATGCCATAGACAAACGCACAGAGCTACGAGTTCAACATGAGCAGGCCAGGCGTGTGTTGCGGTGCAGTTGCGCATTGGTCTTCATGGCCGCACACATTTGTCAGATTCGCCACAATGTTGAGGCGACTCCAGAGGGCGGAACAAAAGCTCAGGAAGTTATCAGCAAGGATGGTTTTCTTTTCTTTCCACTTGGTGGCGTTCGCCACGGGATGACAGAGTGGTGGCCATTCCACTTGCGCACACATGTTGGGCATGCGAACCAAATCACTGCCTTCTTTTGTTTTCGTTCCCGTTGTGCCGTTGTCGTGGGCTGTGAGGCTGCGCTGCATGGCCTGATGCTGGGAGGGTACGACTGAGAGATTGGGTGCGCAGCAACCCGCTTCTCTGCTGCAGCCCTACTTCCCTACTACACTACTTCCCAGTTCACGGCCTTGGCACAATGTGTACGGCCGAGGATGAGACATTCCACCACCCGTATCTCAACACCACACTTCCAAACCGCATCAATCAATGTAAGACCCATCTGCAACCAATGTCTGACAGCACCCCGTAGCAAGTCTGCCCTTGCGCAGAATACATCAATTGATGCACTGCCTTGTCTCTCGCATTGCCTTGCCTAGCTCGTTGGTGCCGCTGTGACGTAATCCTATTTGCCCTGGCGAATCGAAACCATCCACACGCCTACACTTCCTCTATCATCCTGGGGGGATGCCACACTGTCTTGTCCTTGATCAATTAGCTGCTTGGGCCACGCTTCATCGACATCCATTTCTTTGGACCTGCGTGGGACCTCATGAAATGCCATGGAAGGATGTTTCCCTCAATTTCAATCCCCACTCAGGCGGGGCACGGAGCTGTGCCTCGCTGCTCGCGCTGAAATAATCAGCAAGAAGATAGCGCGGGTCCTCCCACATCCAATCCGCCAGCCACTCGTTGCACGTCCAACTGCCATCTTCGATGCGTCCCGCCATTCCCCTGTGCCCGGCCTTCTGGCCTTGGCATTGTGATCGTAGCGCGGACGTAAAGGAAAGCGGAATCTTCCCTGGCGGATATGGCCTCTCTTCAAAAGCGGTTGCTGGGTTCATCAACCCCCTGCTCGACTTGGTCAGGAGCTCGCGATGTCCCACATCGCTCGCAAATCGTCGTGTCACCGGTGCTCCATCATGGATGACGGTCGATGGTGAGGTCTGAAACCGGCTTGATCCTTCGGCCCGATCAGCTTGGGACTTCCGCGGGCACCCTCCCGCCCCACGTCTGACTGTTGTTGTATCCTCCTGGCACATCCTCCAGTGCGAAAGCGGGCAAGCCCAGGCCCAGTATTGTTCATCCCACACCTTCAGCGCGCTGATGGAGAGGCCTTACGACGTCACGTTGCAAAAGGATACACGTTTCACCAAGATCTCAACATTTGCGTCGGGCCCCAGCCAAATGCCGTTCCCCGCCAGCATAGTCACGCGGCCTGAGTCTCGGGCCCGAAGACCCCTATGGGGTTCAGAGCACGGTGGGCGCTTAACAGCCCCACCGATCTCTGCGTCCCGAGTGCATGGCACCCATTGCTCTCCCGGAAACGCTTAAGAATAGGTCGCTCTGGGCAGAATGCCGCTGGCAATCACCATTGCCAGCACACAGAATGAGTTCTTTAACTGACCATGGTTTCCCATTATCCTCCTTGCCCTCTTCGCACTCTCGAAATGGCCCACAGTCACAGCCATGCAGCAACGCATTTACAACAGAGTACCTGACCACCTTCAGGATTGGTAGTCATAGGCCAGTTATACCAGCCTGCTGGAATGGTGGCCGCGATGAGCGGTGGGGAACAGGAACGGAAGTCCATGGATCCAGCCAGCTGGTAATTGGCGGATTCTGTGGGATGTGCCCGGATTTGGGATGATCAGGCGCCATGACCAGATACAGACCAGCCGCCACATGTATCGATGATTGCATTACGCCTTCCACAGCACCCAATTGCACATGCCTCATAGGCACCACCAATGGGGTCTTCAACACTACAGCAGCGACATGCACAGACTGCACTTCGATCCAGGTGGGAATCGAAACCAGCATGGGCGCGGAGCTGAAGTAGTTTGCTCCAATGTGGGGAGGCACTAGGCACGTGTGGACACACTGCTGTACTGACGGCGACCAATATTCATCACTCATCCAATGTGGCAAGCTGGGCTGTGAGCACTGATCCCCATAGGAACTGTTTTGTCGATTTCCTTCGAAGCAGAAAGTATCAAATGCACACTAGGCAAAGGTCTGGCAAGTACATAGGCGGATGACAGCTACTGAAGACATTCCTTCGGCTCATTCTGGCAGGGAATCTTTCTGCATTTTCGTGGGGCTATGGACGGGATCGAATCTAGATCCATTGATTCTTCCTCTGTTGCAGGTATTTAGGAGGATATGGAACTGGGCCACAATATGCTGTGCACCCCCTTGGGACTCGATGCCCCTTCGTGTTGCCTCGAGTCCCCTCTCTCCTCTCTTGGGCTCACAACATGTCCCTCTTTGCAGCTCCAGGTTGTGTGGCCAGGCCTGGCAGAAAGGCTGAGGCTTGGGGGCTGGGGCCACGCCACACTCTCGAGGGATGCTGTGAGCTCGGGTAGACACCGCGATCATAGCACCATCTCCAGCAAGCCAAGCGCTGCAGTAGTCAAAATGCTTGCAAATTAAAAAGGCCCCATAAGAGTACAAGAATGTTCAATGTGTGTTTCTGACATCACCGTCATCGTCCAAAATTCGATTGAGCATAGACCCTTGATGAGAGGGATGAAGCCATGGCAAGGATCTTTGATTCAACAAACAATGTGCCTTGCACAGAGATTTCGTTTAAATCCCTGTCGGCGACGTTCTAAAATGGAGCACGCATCATTGAATGTCCACCGCAGCCGTCCATCCAATTGAATCATCAACAGATGGAATTTCGCCACTTCAGAAATTTCAATGATCAGAAAATTCGCCTTGGAGGTCAAGAAACTGGAGCACATCTTCAAAAAACATATGTCCTTTATTCCCGAAAACCTGGTTCCGAGATGCCATTTTGCTCCACTCTTGGCACGTCCAGGCCTCAACCAACCTATCACCCCATCATACAAACGACACACCAATCGGTAACACAAATTTAAAACTCCTCGCAGTCCCTCCTGGCAGATTATCTTAAAGGTTTCGCAAGGAAAACGTACTTTCACCTCTGCCGCTCGAGGTCGACCACCAAGACAGTTATGTTGTCTGTGCTTCCACGGTCAATGGCGGCCCGGGCCAGAACGCTGGCTGCAACTTTAGCCGCTGCCCCAGGTGATGCACCCCGACTATGTGCCCGCAGAAGGCATTTTTTTGCTAGTTGACATGCTTCCTGTGGGAGAAAAGAAGTCTGTCAGGTCCCAGAGCAAATTTGAATTCTCAGCTTCAAGCTGGCCACTGCCAAATTCTGTTGGGCTCTGTATGTTTCCAGCCCGCCGTACCTATTCCAACTAATACTACAGACCCTTTCTTGAGCGTTCATAGGCAATTTTGTGCAAAGAAACCTGTATTGGGGGCAGCACAGCTCTTTCTTTCCATCTGTACTGACACCAAAACCCCAGACCAAAACAAACTTAATACCTTGAACCAACGAAACGAAACGATTCGAACGATTCGAATCCCTCCCCACCCACCCAAAAAGAAAAGAAAAATGGAAAGAAAAATGAAAATGTGTGAACGCCCCCAAAACCACAATGTACTGAGAAACAAATATGCCCCCCCCCCGCCTCCCCTTGCTCCCGGGGGCTGGAAATATGCAAAATGGCTGCCAAAACGTCTATTTCAATTCGATTCCAGCAGTTTCAATTGTTGAAATATAAGAGCCAGATGAAGCGCACCCAGCCAAGGTGTTTGGACAATGATGTGTATGGCGATCAGATTCTGGACATTGTACGTGCACACTTATGGCCAGCACCACCTTGCAGATGCAGATTGTGTGTCTTGTCACCACACAACCACCATTGATCACAAGATACACAACCCAACGATGCTTTGACAGCACATGATGTCACAAATGACGAAGTGGTGTCAACTTGTTGGTTTTCATGGCATCCATCCTACCTGATCATCAAGGGCGTCAAATAAACCATCGCTGCCCATCAAAAGAAATTCGTCTTGACTGGATCGATGCATTACAGTAACCTGGAAAACACGGAGAGCCAAGCTTACAACCAGTTGCCAAGGACTGTTTGCAAGGGCATATCGCCATAGCAAGACAATCAAGTTTCCCAGGGGGCAGCAGATGGGAGAAAACAGAAGTTGGAAACTTGAAAAGATGATCCAGATACTACAAAAGCCACACTGAGGACAGCGGCGCAGTGCAAATTCCGAATTGTATGCATCGATGCTGCCTCAGAACTGACAAGGTTATGACATGCCAACCTTGACCAAGACTCCCTCACTGCACCTTGCACATTTATCCCACTGAATGACAATCATAAAACATCCCAGGATAACTAGCGGCCTGCTTGCTGGGGGGTTAATTGGTTCCCACCTCTGGAGACGCTGACACACACCAAACATTTTTGTCACCAATCGCCCTAGACATGGCCAGGATGCCTTGGACACGGTGGCAGCCGTTGATCTGTAAAACTTCTCCGCCTGACGAATTTATGCGAGCCTGAGCGACAGGAAGCACAGCATACATCACCCACTGCTATCTGTTGATGCACACAGTTTGAACACAGAAGACAAGGGCATTGAGAACGAAGCATGCCATGTAGCCAAAACAATCCACGGGGACAGTTAAGAGTTGCTGCCAGTTGTGACTTGAAACGCACCATTCAACTTGCGACATTTAGACATGTTAAGTAGTACCTGACGTCTCAAAACCGTCAGGCTCACTGGGTGAGCATCAACCATCCCAGCGGCATTCGGTAAAACAGTGGCCAGCGGGCAGAATTGCAACACCGAATGCATCGGGGACGCGAGCACGATCGGCAGCCCAGCTCACCAGTTCGTCCTCATCGGTGGGTTTGTGATCATGGGTGACGCGGATGGCCGTGCCGGCTCGAAACAGCACAGCACGGGAGTCACCTGCAGGGCAGCAAGGAGCACATGAGCGACGACATTCACCACAAACCAGTTCCCAAAGATTGCGCAGCACAGAGCGCGGGCGCGTCAACCTAGAAGCGAACCGTGCGTCGAAGGTCTCTTTGATCGTCCCCCTTTTATAGCCCCTTGCCCACGCAACCCTCGACCGGTGTACAATAGCAGGCAGCGCCCCAAGCTTTCGCGCAGGCTCACCGCAGCCGGCCACGCAGATGTGCCACGTGCCCACCAGCGCCGCGACCGCCGTGCTCCCCGTGTACGCCGCCCTGCCGCCCTCAGCCACCTCCCTGTCGATCTCCTCGAAGGCCGCCACCATCGACGCCGCCATCCCCTCCGCCGTCATTCCCCCGCCGGACGTCCCCTCCAGAAATTCCTCTGACTCGCCCATCTCTTCGTCCGCCGCACAATCGCCGGCATCTTGGTGATCATGATCATTGTCCGACTCACTCAGCCCTTCGTGCTCGTGCGCCTCCGGACACGGCCCCCGTCGCCTCAGGGAGCTCCATCCCTGCGCCCCTTGGTCATTAGCCGCCAGGGCCGACATTCCCGGGTGGGATCTCCGCAGAGTGTGCGTCAGGGCGTCGCGCAGGCGGCTGTGCAGGTGGTTGGCGCAGTGCATGGATACGTGCGAGCCGCCGTGGCCGTCAAAGACCGAGAACAGGTGGAAGGTGTCCAGCACGATGACGCCGGACGGGAAGGAAGGCTGCAGGTGGCGCGCGGCGGCGCCCCATTGCGCATCGACCAGCCCGCGCGTCTTGCCGTAGGCCTGCTGGCAGTGGACGAAGCCCGGCACGATCTCTTCCGTGTCCGCCACGGACAGGGGCAGCTTCATGAACGCCTGCACCACGCACCAAAAGTCCTCCATGCTCTTGCGCTGGTTGACCATGGCCTTGACGCCGCACGGCAGGCTGTCCTCTGGGAGCGTCGGGGAGGGGGCCTCGGCCGGCCATGCCTGCACGCCTGCCTGGCACCCGCCCGAGCCTCCCCAGCCGCACTCGCTCCTGCAGTTGGGCCCCGCTGACTGGACATCCTGGGGGCACCCTGCACATCACAGCCATCCGCGCAGTTAGGAGGAAGCTGGGAAGCCCGCCCCCCACACCCGACATCACTGGCGCCCTTCGCCACCAAAACCTTCCCCCAAGCCCTGGCCGCGGGGAAGACAGGGCTGCCGGTCACGGAAGGGGTGCGGGATCCCCACAGAGTTTCGCGGCGAGCCCGACAAGGTGCCCCCGGCGCGATCCGGGCCTGCCAACGTCGGCGACGTCCGGTGTCCCATGGCTTCCGGTGAGGCCGCATCGGAGCCGATGCGGAGCCACCACCACGGGCGCTTCCCATCCCGGGCGCCGCCTCCTCGATGCGCCCTGAGTCGCCGAGGGCGCGAGGCTTCGAACGGATCGCCCGAAGTCGCTCGGCGCAGACGACGCTGTGCGGCGACATCGTTGCAACGCAACGGGCCCCAACTTGTCCCTCACGCGCTGAAAAGGTCGCGGAGGCCTGGGCACAGCCGCGAGCGGTGCGCGGCAAGCTCCAGACGCGGTCCCCTGAGGCGATTGACGCTGTCGCTGAGGCGCACATGAACTTCGGTGTCTTGATGGAGGGGCCGTGTGCATGGCATATGCCGTGGCACGGCGGGGGGAAATGCACCACCGGGGGCTCACCGGGCGGGTGGGCGTTGGACAGGACTTCCGTGCCTCCGTCGACGTAGCACATCTCGCCGTCGCTGGTCGGAGCGAAAGCCGAAATCGGGTCGGCAAGAAAGTGAGCCTGTGGGTGGGAAGGTGTGCCAAGGCCGCGGGCGGAGAGCTTTTGTATTTGTGTACCAATTTCCGTCTGACTCCTGCGTTGCGGCTTCGTAATGGGGCCTTGCCCTTATTAAACGACTCGAAACGGCGGGCCAAAGAGTCCAACGTTTGATGGGACAGCGTTGGGCGTAGTTTCCTCGAACCGTCCGACTCCCATCCCACTCGAGGACACCGTTGGAAAACCACCAAGGCGTTGCAAGCGGGTTGGGCAGAACCATGCAGTGGCCCACGCGGTTCCCTCCAGTCGACACTTCCTGGGCTTTATTGAAAGGCGACATCACAGACGCGCGTCCGCTGAGCACCGTGGAGCCGGGCTCGGCAGGTTCTGTGAGAAGGAAGATTCCAGGAAAGCGCAGGCCTGCTCAACGACGCGTTTGCTCGAAGCTGGCTTTGATTCCCGCGCACCTGCTCAAGGCACTGACCTGGGGCCGCGGACACTGGCGCAAACTTCATGAAAGTTTCCTCCTCCACGCAACGGATCCCTTTGAACATGAGTTCAAATTGAGGCCAACATCCCCTTCAGCGCACCTGAGGAGACACAGCTATTTGCCCCGTCAGTGGATTGTTGAGTGTGTGCTCAAGAATATCCCGTAGAGTATCACGCAGAACGTCATAACTACGTAGTAGAATTTCTTGGAGAATATCGTGTAGAATAAGGAAAAACACATCAACTTCATGCCTCTGTACTGTATCGTGATCACAAAATGGCGCTTCGACTCACATTGCAGCCTTCGGGCAACAAAAAGAACGGAAAACAAGTACGGAGATAAAAACCTGGAAGTGCCGAATGGGACATCACTTGCTGTCCACCGCCACTGGAGAAAATTGCACCCACAACATGGTCAGGAGAACGCGACTTGGTCCCATTTTAGCACGATTCAAGCCTCAAACACGCTGGGGGTGCCAATTGAACACAATTTGAACGCAGTCAGAAATTTTGTGAAGTCCGCAACATTCTGGAAATGTGTGGTGCCCAGGCCGGTCCTCTGAGAGCGCGCTTGCGGAAAATTATCCACAGTTTGATGGAGGATGCCAGAACGCAGTACTGCTGATGACTGTGCTGTTATAGTGACGCATGCGTTACAGGGCGCGTACACAAAAATCCACTTTGCCTCCTCATGAGGAGGACACTGATCAGTGTCGAAATGCGCGCCTCACTGCGGATTGTGGGTTTGTTGGAACCTCTGGGTCAGAAAGCATCGAGATGCACAGGTAGAGAGCTATGGAGGATGCACCGGCCACTGGGGCCTCATTGAGTGGCGAGGTGGTGGGGTGGTGCGGTGTGTGTGTGTGTGGGTGGGTGGGGGGGGGGGGGCGCACTGGATGCATAGCTCTTTGGCACCATGTTTCAGGTGCAGTGCACAGCGTTCATTCGTCTGTACACAGACGCTTGTCTTGGGCGAGCGCGACCAGAGAAATTGATCGCTATCAATAGCGATCAGTGTTTCTGCTCTGATTGATTCCCTCACTAAGTCATACAACGTAGTGCGACAGGCGTCCAAAGAGCGAGCTGCAGACGGCTAAGGTGGCGGATCCCCCCAGGGCACCACAGCGATGGTCGCCCATCAAGTTGCCTGAAACGAGGCCACCGGGGTGCCCAACGGGCAGCGCGCACGCCAATACGCAAGGGCGGCATGAATACGTTCGTACACAACCAATCGTACGCACCACAAGTTCATACTCTCATTCATTGGCCTGTGCAAGGGAGCAACCGCCGCCTCTTCCTTTCCGCCACGTCAGCTGGGGCTGGATTGCTAGGCCTCGAGGCCTCCGAGCCGCGGTACCGCAACCTCCAAACAAAAATCGTATAGCGCGACTGTGATGGGAAGCTGCACCCACGTGGCCCGTTGGAGCCCGCCTTATGGGGGCCCCTTTGCTGGCCCACGACCCCACCCGGCCAAGCACGCAGCACAGCACCCCAACGCCGGACCCGCCCCACAACGACCACCAACCGCCCATCGACGCTCTCGTTTGGGTCTCCAGCCGCCACAACGCAGCTCCACGGCGACAACGGCGGTCACAGCCCAACGTTCAATCCCCGTGCGCTGGCGCCATACCATTGCCCCGCGTGGCCGCGACAGCCTCTAGATGCTCACCATTCGCGCCTCTGCGCCAATCCCGCCGTCCCTTCCCACTACCGATCCGACCTCTCCACGCGCACTCGACCTGGCCTTAGCGTGCCTCAGCATCCGCAGTGCGGATTCCGCACACCGAGCTGTCACTCTGCTGCTCCCGGTGCTCCCTCGCCAATCCAGTCCCAAAGTCCCGCAGGCCTGCCGAAGGTCGTTTCCAGTGTGCCCACAGGCCCACCCTGGACTCTTGGGTTGCGTCAGAGGCCGCGTGGCCACGCCGGCGAAGAAACTGGGACACCGCGTGGGCTCCCACAGGTCAATTTGGCTGATTGGCGTCCGTTAAACTTGCTGCTTTTGTGGTAATGACGAAGGCATGCAGGATCGAGGGGCGGCGATTTCTGGACGGGGATCGTACGCTCGAGTCCACGGCAATGGTTTACAGCCGAGGCAAAAGGACAGCAGGCGCTCTGTCCTTTATGTTCAGTCCGTTCATCAACGTCCTTAACGCTATTCATGCATTCAGTTGTTAATAATACTCAATCAGTTCCAGTTACGACAGTAATTGAAAAGTCGGTCACCACCGAGGAAAATGGCGCGCGTCGCCAGCGGCAAGCTTCCACGGCCACGCGGGGTGGGTCGGGTTGGAAATTTCCTGGATTCCAAAATGGGGGAGTGCAATGTCCGGAACGCCGGACCTTACTGCATTGAGCCCGACGGGGCTGCAATGATTGCATGGAATCGGTCCCAGGGAAACAACGCAAATCAAAACCCAATCCAAATGAGACAAGACGGGTAACTTCGTCGCGACGACAAGATCCGTGATGCACATTCATTTCCTGCGAAAATTGTCCTGAGATGCGCAAATAATTGCTTCTTCCTGTTCATATTCTGACGTATTTAACAAACCTCGCTTAAGCCACACGTCTATAGTAATCGTGCCTGCCCAACACGTGTACCCTGAATACAGATGGGCAAAGTATGGGGAGGAGCTGAAGGCAGAGATCGTTGCAGCAGATGGTCTGTACATTAAGCTGACTATGTCGTTCGTGGAACTCACATTCTTGTTGAGCTTTGGCTTCCGTGTTCCACTGAAACCCAAACTTTGTGCATGTGGCCACATGCAGATGTCCATGGGTGTCTGCGACACTTTTTCCACGAATTTACCGCCTTTTCAGTGTCTTGTGTCCAAGGTAACCTCGCGGGAAGACGCATAATTGCATTGGTCCACGATTGTCTGTGGAACGTTAGTACGAAGTGAAACACACAGTACACAGCGCACAATACTGTTGCTGCAAACTCTGTGGCAGATTTGCCAGTATCTTTGCGGATGCTTCCACGATCCTGGCGACGATGCATCCATCACCCAATTGTGGAAGCTTGGCACAATTTTTGACATCCAGATCAAGACATATTTCCACATACTTCTCCCAGCACACAAGAAAGAGTGAAAGAAAAAATGAGATAACACTGTTCCAGTCAAGTGGCCAGCTGAACATGAATGCGTCAAGAATCTGGCGCACCGCGGGAGAAACAATCAGCGAAACAGAGGAGTAAGGCATCTAGAGCAGCGAATCTCGGTGCGCTCCAGTGCGTAAAGTACTGGGCTGCGACGGCGCACGTGTTTATGAGGCACGCCATTCGTATGGGACGGAGCGCCTCGACGCTTGGAGCCCTGTCACCCTTGAAATCTTGATCCTGATGTTGTGTGCAGGAGAGCGGCCTGGCAGACCGTGCGCGGATCGACAACAGATCAATGGGTGGACATCGCGTCAATGATGGGCACTGGTACCAATCAGTATGATCTCAAATGAGCAGGGACTTGAGAAACGCTGCTTGCCAAACAAAAATGGCCCGTTCAGCATATGGCGTCACAGTCTGTTCGATTCGCCAAAGATTGATCTGGGGCGATGCCAACATGGAGCTCAAGAATCGATGGCGGATTTGGGCACTTCTATGGCAAGCGCAACGATCCATTCCAGTGCTGTCGGATGGTCGGGCAGGGCCCAGGTCTTCACGTTTGCGGGGTTGGCCGACCTGTTTCGCTGCCACAGGTGAGTAGGGGAATCGAGACCTTATGCACAAGAAATGCAGGGGCAAGGCCAGCTTGGGATCTTTGGACACGTTAGGCTGCACGTTGTAGAGCGATTTCCCAACAAAGCACTTTCCTAATTAGGAATTTCTGGATTTCTGTTGGGCGTTCGGCCGCCTCGAAATGCACCTGATGCGTTTGCAAGTTGCAACTAGTGATCTCTCGGCCCAGGCATGTTGCTGTTCCAGATCATGATAAAAGCTCGTCTACCTTGGGTTGAGATGTGCCTTGAGGTGTGGAAGACCTGGGATGATTCGGTTCACACAAAAGGGAACGGTTCACACGATTTAAATATTTGGTCTGTCAGAAACGTGCACCAGGCCCTGGGACTCAGGAAACGGAAGAAATCAATGCAATTTGTTTTGATCTGGCGGTTAGAAAAAAAAGAAGGCGCAGATGCGAATCATGAATTATGGGCACAAACTCAATGCACAAATTTCTGCGTGACATCAATGGACAAACCCAAATTTTGATGGAGTAATTAAGTGATGACTACATGTTGCAGACAGCATTGGGGTACCTTATGCCTAATTGGTAAAACATGCTTCGAATTTGTGGGTGCAAAGCGAGCAAGCGTCCCAAGGAAATGCCAAGGCGACGCCAATGGTATGCATCTGGTCAGATGCAGGCCATGGCCTGCATGTGTACCCAATTTCGCGATTTCAACTGAAATCGGCACATTAGTACTATAGCTGGTGCCCCGAGGCTGCGTGTGCATGATGTCTTGATTTAGCTGCCATGAGCTGAGGCAAATTAAACGGGGCCTGTGTGGTGAAAGAGAAGGAAAGCAGAAAATACTCGAATCATGGGGAACTTTCACACCGAGCGGCATTCTTAACATGATTAACGGAGGTTAATGAGCGCGGACGCGCCAGGACCGCGTCTGATGGGTTAAAGTGCACAGCACGGAGACCGAAGCTATCGCTCCTCGCGTCAAGCGCTGCGGGCCATAACCTAGCGCGACCGTCGCCGCCAGCCTGCTGCGGAAGCAAGCGCAAAGGATGGTAAGCACGGCGGCGGGGAGAGCGAGCCGCGCTAGCAGGAAGCGGGGAGAATTTTGCGACCAACCCTCTCGCATCGCGGCTCGCCCACGGGCAGCCCCGGCGCACCGCGGTCTGCCCGCACGTTGGGTTCGCAACAAATCGCCGGGGGCGCCCCATCCTCCTGTGGCGTTTGCGCGGCGCTCGGGCCGCGCCCTTCGTTTCCGCGACCGCGGCACGTTGCGCGCTCAGCCGGCGCGCATACCGGTCGGGCGCGGACCACCTCCGCCATTGGCGGCGCCTAGTTTCCCTCCGGCTACGCTCATCGCGCACGGGCCGGCTCAGCCCGCC